GCCAGGAAGTCACGAAGACAGCACATCACTCAATTTGCTAACAACTACTTTTCTTTCGTGCCTTTCATTAAATTTTCCAAGCGGGATTTGGTGCATAGGGACCAAAACCTTTATAGAAACTTATCCAAGGGGTATCCAATGCAATCTGACAATGTCAACTCACTGTGTTGTGCCAACTCGGGTACAGCCTTTTGGATCCTAGTAGTGCGTGAGCTGTGGAGAGTAGTTCGGTCGTTCGAACTTGCGGACATTTCGCATACAGCTGATACGATGTTCAGTTTTCATAACCGCAAAGCATGCCCCTCTCAATAACCTCGTGTGAGCACCATTTCAACGTTCCTGACGCCATGAATCACGATTGGCAAGTATTGCTCTCAAACTGACAATCGTCCTACTCACCTAATTGTGCAGCAACTTAGATAAGTAAATCAATCTGTATAGTCAAGTTTCTTTCTCTGAGGTTCTGACGACACGCAGTATAAATTTTTCGTTACAAGCGACGTGCTCATACCAACATAAGTTATGCTTTCTAGCATTTTATTCAGAGGTGCTTAAAACATGTTCGCCTTTGTATTCCGATAATGCTAGTTTATTCGGTTTTGCTCTACCTCAGTATCAATATCACCTCAATATCACACTCACACACAAAGAAGAAACTCCATTCATAAGTGAATTTCGGAGGCGGGCTATCTCTGTAAGGGCATCTTGGGCTTACTTGCGAGCGCTTCTCGCCCTCTTATAACGGAAGCACACCGTTTTAGCGCGAGATAAACACGCATGACTGACTTAAGTCTATCGTTATTTTTTTCGATTTTCATCAATTTATTGCTCTTTGTTGTGTTTTCTTTTAGGGTCAATTGAACTAACCGTGGTGGGCATTGTCGTTTTTACACGTGCGCGACTTGTGTTGGCAGAACGGAGCTTATCGTGCCTTTAACTTTGTGGAAACTGTCCATTTCGTATCTCATTCCAACTTGCCGAAGCCGACTGCTAATTCTTCCCGTTGTCGTTCTGTGCCCAGCATCATGCCTCTCTCGCCTGATACACATCCTTGCTTAAAAGAAAACTTGTCAGGCTGTGGAGATCGGAGCCGAAAAGCAAATAAAACATGTCTAAAAAATCTGTCAGACAACTCTCACTCTCGCTCGATCGCCAGTGCAGTGAAAACCGCCACGGATACTCCTAAACGAAGGGCGCACCGATCTTCATTACAAAACTTGTCGGCTGTGGAGATCGGAGCCGAAAAGCAAATAAAACATGTCTAAAAAATCTGTCAGACAACTCTCACTCTCGCTCGATCGCCAGTGCAGTGAAAACCGCCACGGATACTCCTAAACGAAGGGCGCACCGATCTTCATTACCGTCCTCTTTGGATCTGAATTCCGTTACCGTTACGAACGATGGATCGGTTCAGACAATGTATTTTGGAAATATTCCTTCATCAGCCGTTCCACAGTCCAGTTGTGTACCCGCGCCGTTTTCACACGAACCTCCTGCAGTAGCGGTTAATCAGGCATGTGACTACAGTATTCGAATCACCTTGGAGATGGCCAAAGGTGGAACGGGTGGGTGAAGAATTCCCCATTCTTTTTTCTATTTTATTGGCTCTTGAATGTTAATAGCTGCGTATAATCCCAAATCGAGTCAGAAACGCCCGTTGGAATGAACGGGGACCCTTCTGTGCAGTCCACCTTCAAATAAATGTGGCTATTATTCCTCCAGTAATGAAAAGCATTATTGCTGCCTGTGATGACAACTCCTAATATTCCAACCGCTATTTGGATACTTGTCGGGCATAAATCGGTTTATCGTCTTTGTTCATTGTTTTTCAGTTCTGTCTGCAATATGTCTATGGGTATCAGATCTTTATATCTGGTGCTATAACGATTCCTTATTTGGAAGATAGCTTATTTTAGCTTACCTAGCGTATAGGGTTGCATTTTCTGGCCTCTGAGCTGACTGTAAATTTGAGTACGTCCGGCTGTTCCCAAACCTCGCTGTAATGATGATGCCGATCACATCTCGCTGAAGGTGATTGCAATCCTTGAATCCGCCGACGGCATTTGGCGCCAGTTCTATAGTTTTGTGTTATTTCGATCGGGTGATAGAAAAACAGTGAATGATGTGGTTTCTTGCTGTGAGTGCCGCTTTTTGATAGCATTACCAATGGTAATTTTTCAAATTTTTCTCACTGTGTATTGCAGTGGTCATTGGTCACCTAGGGGACAATCTGGCTCGAAATCTCATCATTATTGTTTGGGGAATGTACATCTGACGAAGCGTATTTTTACAGCAAGCGACATAGTTGTCGCGTTCCAACCGTTTTTCTCAGACAGCAGAATTTCACCCAACTCAACGTCGAGATGGCCCAAGTGGTTAAAGCGCGGATTTACTGACCGGAAGGTCCGTGGTTCGAACCCGACCTCTGCCACTCGACTCCCCCTGTCTAGGCCTGGGTGACCTGACAGTATCCTAGCCCTCGTCCTTCCTCCGGATGGCATGGCAGCTAGGCACCGGGTGTTACAGCTGAACGATTGTTATTATTTCAACACCAAACACTTGGTGGTAAAAAAATAAATTTTCAAACGAGGTCCGCAATTGACCGAGTCGATTCCAGTTATCTTATTTTCTCTTACAGTTAATTACTCGAGAGGCTTGCAACACCAAATCACATGACATAACTTATGTAATTGAGGAACAGCAGATGCTACATCCTCTATTAATGCAAGTTCATTCAGATTGCTGATCAGTCACTTTAAATGAACCGTACTCCGAACATCAATTCCTGTACTTCGTCTCACCTTCCCTAAAAAACAAGTGATTGTTACTTTCTCGATTTCCATTAGTTTGGTGAAGTCATGTAAGTGACACCGAATGAATGGTGCCGACATTCAGGGATTATAGGGCGTTTATAGAACAATAGGGGATACCAGGTGTTCGTTTCTGGTTTCCACTTACTTTATCGCTAGCAGGGCGATTTGGCCCAAGTGGTTAGAACGCGAACAGAAGGCCCGATATCTGTCTCTCGACTTCCCCTGTCTAGGCTTCGGTAACCTGGCAGTATCCCGGCCCTCGTGCTTTCTTTTGGTGGCATGGCAGTTAAGCACCGAAAGGATGCTACAGCTGAACAACCCAAATACAATATTTAACCATTGTTCGTTTTTTTTATTCAATACAATGATGATGATGATGATGCTGGAAAACCAGAGTGCATCCACTCAACCCTGCACTGACGATGTCACCTCGATTGGTGATGAAACGTTTGCAATCCAACTGCCAACCCCGGCGAACATTTCAACAACCAACCAGTTAAGTTCACCTATGTCCGCTCCAGGTTGCCTGGTGACCAGTACCACTGAAAATTCAACACCAGATCATATCCCGAAAGTGCATCATGCTTAGCTATGGTGCGATTTGTTTTAATCCATACGACGGTGGTAATAAAAAGTTGTGCACACGGATAATGAGTTGGCCCTCGCTTCAACATCTGGTTACCCAAGTGAAGTAAAAAGTCGGAGACAAATGATCTCGGTATCCAAAAATAGAAATGAAAGATTAGAGCACGAGAGGAAGGCATCCGAGTGACTAGGAGTAGGGAGTAAACACAGTAGACCATTGGTTTTGAACCAGTGGGAATTCTCCCTTCAATGGGGAGATGGAGACCGAAGCACTAGGGGCAGCAGCTACTGAAATGTCGGTTGTTACTTCGATTTACACATTGCTCAGATCTTCTGACAACTGCACTCACCTACTCCATTATTCTTGGTTGTACATTAGCTGCGTTGTCTTGTTTATTATTCATGGCAGTATAGTGGGGACGTTTGTTGGGAATGAAAGATGTGTCTCACTCTCGGTGGGAATTACAAGCGAAATGCCACACAGGTAGAACAGCAGCGTTGGCGAAAATAGCAGACTGCACTCTGTGTTTAAAATTTGTCTTTGTCGGGTATACACGTTCCATAGTTTCATACGCCAGCTTCAAACAGATCTACGGACCTAAACGCGATTACTGAACGAAAACATCAGCCGATCGACACGCTTAAAAACTAGCGGTAATTTTCTCGTCGCGTCACCATTCTGCACAGAATGAGTTTGCTAATGCTATGATAAACAGTTAGATTATAAGGGAGGTAAAAATCGCTCAGCTGTAGCACCCTTTCGTTGCACTACTGCCATGCCACCAGAAGGAGGCACGACTTCTGAGATACTACCAGGTTGCCCAAACCTAGATAGGGAAAGTCGAGAGGCGAAGGTCGGGTTCGAACCACGGTCCATCCGCTCAGTAGATTCGCGCTATTACCACTGAGCCATCTCACCCCCTGTAAGGGAGGTAAGCCGATAACCGAACAATCGACTGGGTTAACAAACTGCTGCATCTTTTTTGCATCATTATGTTTCTTGGGAAGCTTGGATCTTGAATGGAACGTGAAATTTGAGTACCTGAGGCAGACAGCTATCCGTCTGTAGCTTTTATTTACGCTAGTCTGCCTGTTTGTCAAGGTCGGAAGAGAGTAAGGCGGATGAACAAGTCAAGTTGACGAAATATGAAAATCTTCGTGTCACTCAGTGTTTCCTGGAGTTGACCAAGGGGCTGCCCAGCAATAAATTTACCGATTGTTTATCAAACCTCTCTGAAGGGATGACTACCCAGTCGGTCCCAAACACTTTCCAATTGATTGGAAAATGATCCCGTTGATTGACTTTCTTCCCAAAATATCTATCATGTTGGATTGCATCTGTGAAACACCGACGAAGCGAGGATATTAATCCAAGTTACTTGTTTCTTCGGGTCGATGAAGCTTGAAGAGAATGCATGGTGTGCAAGATCACTGAGTTCGTGCATGCGGCCATGCCATCTTCACCATCGTCATCAATGTGGAAAACTAATGCCTAACTGTCGCCTTGTCGATTTCGCGAAGGTCACTACCCATGGCTGCTGTTAGGTATCTGCAGTGCAATGGACAATCCCATCTACAAAGCGCATGATGTTAGCACCATAGTTTTCTCTAGGACTGGCCGGTATCATGCAACAAAGTTTGCTCCATTTGTCAGTTACTAATCGTGTGCTTCTTACTTACGTTTGTCCAGCTCCTAGGCCGGTTCGCGTGTATGCTGATGGTGCCTATGACATGTTTCATTCTGGTCATGCGCGGCAATTGATGCAAGCCAAATCCGCCTTCCCAAATACCTACTTGATTGTCGGTGGTGAGTTGGTTACATTTTTGCTTTGTATTCTACTTTCAGCCCGATATTTTTGCATACCTTGTGATGAACTTTTCAGTGACGGAGGCCTGTGTTAGATTTGACGTCAAGTCGTTCGCCTCGTTAGTTGAAGGATACTCCAATTGTCACCTCTTTAGTCTTGTTCGGTCCCGTGTATAAAAGCGTAGCAAGACAAACAACGCATTGTTTATTGCTGATTGAGTTGACACCACTATTGAACGGCCAAGGCATACGGAAAGGGGAAATACAGAAAGTGGTAGGTTATTCCAAAGTTGACTTTCCGAAAAAAGAAAAAGGCGTGGAGATCTGTCCAATAATGGGAATTGCGAGTTGGTTGGACGATTTGGAGAACGAAGGAGACTGTTTGGATGTGGGATCGATAGATGTTATTTTAGGGGAGCATTTTATGTGGTGGTGGCAACAGAATAAGTAAAAGGATGTTGCATCTCCCCGGAAGATTACGGGTTAAATGTTATCAGTTAGGGAGGGAGTGTTGAGGAGGAGACAATTAGTACTTGTCCGAACTTGATCGTGTACAGATAGCTAAGAAGTGAGCTGAACCGCAAATATTACAAAAATATTCTAGCATGGAGAGAAGTTGGACTTTACACAAAACCGATACTTGGGGTGACAAATAACTTGAAAGACTCACTTTCTTGGAGGCAATTTTCGCAAGGTGTATTACATGAGCAGACTTAAATGGAGGTGAAGAGTGAAGAATACGGTTGGCAAACAGGGAGTTGCAACTGATAAGAAGAATGGTGGGAAGAGAAGATATCTTTGGAAGACGTATTGAAGCCGGGAAGAGGTTGTCTATATACAGCAATAAAGTAAGTGGACACTTGAGAGAACTCCCTCCAGAAGCACTTCTAGCACGGGCTTCTCAAGAGGGATGCTAATCCTGTCTATCGTGCTTGGATGTGGGCCATACGTAAAAAGCTTGGCGAGGAGGTCAGGACACAAAATTTGATAAAAGGTTTTCGGGACATTTCGATATACATTAAGCTTGGTTTCACTGACGTAGTCGAGCACGGATCACCATACGTATGATGCCTAAGCCGGTAAATCCTCCGTGAAGCAATTGCACCTGAATCCGTATTGGGGATCACTAAGAAGGGTGATATTTTCAGGGTCTTGCAGTATTCGCTTTGCGGGTTTGTACAGTGCATGGGGTTCTCTGGTGCTGGAGGTACTAGTCTTGACCAGCGTAACCTGTCGACTATACTTGGTTCATATATTGTCACCAAGCAGGTGACTTTTTCTAAGGACCCTTTGGTGTGCGTCAGCACGACTGAACCGATATATCTTTGGGTCACCTTTCCTAACGTTTTGGGAGCACCGTGGTTAAGTAAAAGGATTTCTTTATAATTCTAGACGTGCTTGCAAGAGTCTTCTTTTGGTGCTGGTCAAGTTTTCGTAAATTTCCCGCTGTCTCTCTTACAGTGGTGATTCATGGAGACATCATCCTTAAGAAAGCCTATTCAGTGGCACTGTTTTGAACTCAAGAGGGTGTGACACACGAGCTTCCCTAAGAATTTGCATTTGGTGTGCATGGTAACACTAGACAAAAACGCTTTAGAAAGATGGTATCACGTTATTGGTCCGGTCTTTGAGAGGTTGAACAACCGCCACACTCCCTCTGCTGCAAAATCACTTTATAGCTCCTCGGAACTCCCAACTGACTGGTAGTTGCAGTTCTACTTTCACGAGCTGGCTGTGGAGTTCACTACTCTTTTTATGCGCCACTGATGACGGAGTGGAAAATTATGCGATAATCCATCTTCACTGTGAATTCAAAGGTGCTAAATAGATTTTGTCGTAAGTGGGGAAGAAGGATGCTTATGGTGGATTATCACCAGCAAATGCCCTATGTAAAACTAATCGTCTTTGCAGCGCATAAGGCGTATCTTATCACGCACTGCAAATCGAATGATAGTTTGACAATTGAAGCTATGTTGTGGTCATCAACCCATTTCCCGAGTTCCAATTTCTGAAGGACATAAATCATTTATTCCCTAAATTAGGCACCTAGTGTGTTAAGAAATAGCACCATATACAGAGCGTCAAAATATCTAAACGTGAGGCTGAAGTATCAGGTGCGGCTAGATCACAATTCCTCTAAAAACTGCCATCAGTTATCCTCATGACAATGCAACGACACCCTGTTTCATCTGCTATTGAGGGCGTCACTGTGCGATCTCACTAATAGTCTCACATTAGGAAGGTCAAACGTGCGATTGAGTGAGTGCGACTGCTGAAGATGGTAACTGACCATGAGGTCAACTCAGCTGAAACAGAGACGCATTAGGCGATTTCAGGCACGTCTTCTGAGTGAGAGCATACGAGAACATACCTAAGTGAAAATCTGTAGTTGAGTAACTGACAGGGATAGTTAGTTCATGCTCTGACACGTCCCCTGCTGTGACCTTACCGTATCAAAATAGAGATTTTATGGCAAGCTTTTAGCATATCACTGTAACTCAGTTTCTTTTAATAATTTCCTTGAATCAAGTTGAATTGGGATGTATATTTTTGAGGTCGAAGTATGGAGGTCACACTAACGCGTGTTACTGTTCTGATCAGTATCTGTTTGTGTGTCCGCATACACCTGCCCAGAATTTGTTTTCTCGCTTTGTGTGGAGGAACGAAATCCCATGGACTGTGGTTTTGGCGCAGATCAGACCTCATCATTGATAAAAATGATATCCATATTGGTTAGAGGAGTCAAGATATATAGGAATTAAACTCGGGAATGAGTGCCAATCGTACCATAGAGATAGCCGTTACAGGGAGGGTCGCTAGGGTAGAGAGCGAGTGCTGTGCTTGTTGAAGTCTGATTGAATTACTTGCTGCTGTTTCGGAACAAGAATGAAGCAGTTCCAAGGAAGTTTGATAGACAGTTAGTGGTTCTGATGCGGAATCCTCGTCAGGACAACTCACTAAGTTACCGGGTTCGTCGGTTTGATCAGGGCAGATGGATAATCACGGAAGTTTAATAGACAGTTAGTGGTTCTGATGCGAAATCCTCGTCAGGACAACTCATTAAGTTACCGGGTTAGTCGGTTTGATCAGGGCAGATGGATAATCAATCACCAAGAGCTATGACAACTAGCGGAGTGCACAAGTGTCGAATTTCGGTAGCCAAAGTCTTACAATTGAAGAGGAGGGGGAATTACATTGGTTGTTTTTCAGGTCCAGAGCTTTTCTGTTGATGATTCTTCCCGTTTGTTGTGTGTCAATTAACAGAATATATGACTTTCGATTAGGCAGTGGGAAGATCGAGTTTTCTTTAGGTTGTGCTTCGTAGTAAAAATCCAGACCACTTTGGCTGATAACTATGCATCGCCACATGTTAACTCAGATGATCTAGACCGCTTTACGCACACTCGCGGGCTCTGTGTCCTCTGCTCTGTGCAAACCAGAATGCCAGGTGATCTCCGTCACCTCCATTGTTAGGCATTGTGTTGCACGTCTTAGTAAACGTTCCCAAACTTCAACATTTTTCCTGTAGGGCATGAACATCCTGTTTAAGTCTTTTGCTCCCTCTCGATATTCATCTCCGTTTTTCTGTCCGTTTGTTATCTCATGTTCACTGAATTCGCTATGAAGCACTTCCGTAATCTGCCGTCGCATTTGATTTAAATACACTCCATGTTTCTGTCTATCTGCGGGTCGTTCTTTAACTTCACCATTGCATAGCGCTGAGTGTTACCCTTTTGGAACACTGCCATTCGGTTGGCCGTATTTAGGACCGTTCAGATGACTTCAGATATCACTGGTCTGTATGGAATACAGCCTCCTGTAAGTCTGCACATGGGTATCGGTACTCTTTTTTTTACCTTCTTTCAAATCACAGTTAGACTATGGAGATGGCCCAATGCGTGTTGTCGTGACGTCCACCAGAACGTCTAATTCTTGCACCCATTTTGTCACGGGTGAATGGAATCTCATTCAGAAACTAGTCGGAATAATGACTCCATCACATATTGGTCAATTCCAGACACTCACTTGGCGATCATGACCAGTCGTATGCTCACTATTTCTGGTTGGAATGGTTTTGAAACCCCCTTTGGCGTCTGATCTGCACCAGTGTCTTTGTTGTATCTTTGTTGGTACTTCTGTGTTTTTTATTCATTCAGCCGAATAAATACCTGATACACTGGCGTGCTTAGTTGAGGCTAATTATCGGAAAAATAGGATAACTGTTCATGATTTCCGTAACCGTTTCATAGTAACCGGTCGCTCTACACTGGCAAACCTCCACAGGCGCGAGTGAACGTCGGGGTTTCACGCAGCTCACATTGAGGTTTCAATTCGGCGTATTGCAAGATGTTCCATCGGGCACATAGCAAACACCTCCCCCCCACAGGAAAGAACGCTACGCAGAAAGGAACTCTGATATTTCTTGAGAGGACTTCACACTAAGTCGTGACCGATGGCAAACACTTTTGTGAACACTTTAAGGAAGTAACCATTTTTCGGAGAGCCTTTCTTTGGCAGTGTTCAAACTCCCGTCCTCTTGATCCCGATCTCAGCTGATGATTTATACACTTTTTTAAAACCCTGGTTTAGGTGGATAAATCCACATTGTGCGCAAGCGTTCTGTTTCTTGTTAAAATGAAAAGATCGATGACACTATCTCTGTTTCTCGCGCTTACTTTATCGAGCAAGCTGATCGGCGAGTACACAACTTCATTCATTTCTGTGATGTTTATTTCTTGTTTTGGTCATCATGACTAGTTGTTTATCATGTGGTTTGACGTAAACACTGGTCACTGTGACCATAAACATCCGCATCATCTGCTGCACATGTGTTTTCTATGTATCTAGAGAAGTGACTTGGTCAAACTATTCGCAAGCCACACCTCTATGGTCAAATGCGGCGGAGTTGGAAGTAAGCTGTTCGAAACGGTCGCGAGATAGTCGCTAGTTTTTCCCCTGATTAAACATTTCGATTAGAAACTTTCGATCACCCATCGAAG